AAAAATGGACAGATCTTGAAAGAACACCCTGCATGAAAACACTTGTTATTATTCCCACCCATTAAACTATTCAGGGCGTGGGAATAATGTAGCAACAAAAAAACATTATTCCCTCCCATTAAACTAATTAGGATTCGACATTATAATATATACCGGATTCCAACTTCCAGCAATTTGAATGGGTCGAAGCCTGAAGACTCATCTGTTTTACTACGGACTTTGCCTTAAAGCCTTAATCCACTATTTGTCTATATATAAATCATCTTGGAAGGGTAGGGTATAGATTGATAGATCTCACGCAACATCTGCTTTCCATCGAGCAAACAAGAAAGGGACCACTTCCACTACACGTGATTCCTTCGATTGAGATGAACCCGTGACAAAATACTCTCCCATTTCATGAGAGGAGTTCACAACAGGGTGAGCATAAAGGAACTGAAGATAATAGGAACAAAAACAAAACATCATCCATGCACAACACATTCTCACATCCCATTTAATCCAAACACTCTGTGTAATATGCACTGACCCCGGAAACCAACGCGATGTACAGGTAAATAATGGTAAATATGCCAGTCCCGTTCATCGTGTCTGGGTAGCCAGCATCACTCATCTCGGGACATGTCTGATTCACAGCGGAAGATTCATGTTTGGAGACGGTTCTGCTCTGCCCAGTTCGGCTTGCTGATTTCTTTTCGATCGACCTGAGCTCCCCGGCAGTTCGCCAGGAACGTGCCCGTGGTCTCTGGGTTGATGCCTGAGGAAAGAATGCCTGTCTGCATCATACCATCGGGCCCAAACAAAAGTCTCCTCACATCTGGGTCTAATAACAATTTCTGCTACTCACCGGACCAATGACCAATTTACCAAACATCATGAAACATCTTGAGATGGACACATTTTTTGTACTACTAATTTTGGAGTTTGTCATGGCTTTCGATTGATTAATCAGATTCAATGAAGTCGGAATTCTTGCATCCAATGCACAGGTTCCTGTTGAGTTCGGTTTCTGTGTCACTTCGGATGATGTGCCGCTCCTGAAAAAGATCGTTTCCAGCATCCTTATGGATCTTATGGTAGCCACAATGTCATGATCGAAGTCACAACACAGGAATCTTCGGATCGGATCTTTAAAAGAAACAAAGAACCAGAAACAGATAGAACCCACGAACCCAAATGTGAGATATACAGAAAGGAGCGGATTCATATCAAACATTGGACAGCAAAATAAACACCAAGGATGTGTCACACGGATCCAAAACTGCACCAAATGCAACTTCCAATGGTCGGTCATTACTGAAACTGGGCAGTGTAGCTTTGGGGAACATAGGGGAAAGTTCACCAAAACCCATCCAAACCAACAAAAACGCTAAGTAGCAATGTTGGGAGCACCTATGAGCCGACCATTGCTCGCCCATCCCCACAGCAATCCTCCTCCCCCCCCACAACTGTCCTTCCTTCCTTGCGTCCTTTCCGGATTCCACCGAGTGGCTGTAGCAACTCATCTCCGCGCTCGCGCCGTGCGCGGTGTCGGTCAAGAGTTCCGTGATCTGGGAGGAACGAACGCGGAAGACCAGACGTCGGAGCTCGGAGCAGCCCAGACGTTCGCTACGAACGGAGCGTTCGGACGCTACGAACGGGGCTCCTGGCCTTACTAGGAGCAAGGACGCTACTAGAAACAAGTGCATCGCTTCTAGTAACAAGTGCCTTACTAGTAGTAACAAGAAGCTATTAGGAACAAGATTTAAATTAGAAGCAAGGACGCTACTAGGCACAAAGAGCATCGCTACGAACGGAGCAAGGACGCTATTAGGTTGGAGGCCATCGCTACTAGGGTGGAGGCCATCTCTATGAGGTTGGGCTTCACTCGGGGAGGAGGTCAATCCGAAGTCCCTCCACGTGGTGTGGAAGAAGTTTGGAATGGCTTGGTGCTGCTTGGCGTGGACCAACAAAATTGATACTGGGATGTTGGTGATGCTTGGTGGGCCTCATGATGCTTTAAGTGACTCTGGTGATTCTTCTGCCCTCATGTCTCCCCGTGGCGCTGGGGAACTCTTCAATTGTGAAGTTGTGGGGAAAATAGAGGGACGCTTGAAACCCTTTACCTATACTGGGAGCAAGAAGCTACTAGTAGCTCCTGGCCTTACTACTAGGAGCAAGAACTCTACTAGGAGCAAGAAGCTAAGCTACTACGTGGAGGCCATCGCTACTAGGAACAAGAAGCTGCTAGTAGCTAATTCACTCCGACGTAAGGATCGTTGCTTAGGAAGTCGTTTGAGAATGTGATCCGTCGGTGCCCTCTCAACCCCCAAGGCCATCAAAACACAAGTCAATTCCGAAGTCCATGAGTCCATGAGTGATGTGAGTCCTAAACTCTTGCAGTCCAGTCTTGCAGGTTGTTTTTTTGGGGGGGACAACCACACAGTTGCCGCCAGAAGAAGTTTATAACGAAGCATCACAGCACGACAACATACGAAAACACATAATGCAAAAACTGGAAGCTGGAAACAATTCATTCACAGGGCAGGGGATAACCCCAAGGAACAGCTGCTTTCCGAGGCCTCCTATGTGACAGCTGTACCAGGCGCAAAGCCACTACGCTAAGCCACTACCTCACTACAAAAAGTTGTGTTTTACCCTGTCTCCAAACAGGTGTTTTTCAAGCAACATCTGCCTTTCGCCTCGCAAAAAGCGCACAAATCGAGTGATCCCCTTTTTGGTCGTCTTTCCACCCGGACTTGCAGACGAAGGGGCGCCAGTGACGCCATAAATGGTGCCCTGCATCAAAAGACCGACCTGTGGAGGAGATTTGTTCGAAGGTGCAGCGGTTTTTGGTGGCGTGACGCGATGGCCCTCCACCATACTGATAGCGATGGCCTCCGACCTAAAAGATCAACAATCCCATGGACCTTCTCCACCGAAACGCAGGGGTTGGACCCTGAAAACCGCGTTGCTGGTTCGGCCCGGATTCTTAGGGTCACCGTAGCGATGCCCCTTGCTCCGTTCGTAGCGATGCCCCTTTGCTCCGTTCGTAGCGTCCTTGCTCCTATAGTAGTAAGGCCAGGAGCTACGTTCGTAGCTTCTTGTTGGCCAGTCGACTGTGTTTGCGAAATGGTTGCTGCCAGCGAGAGAATGCTGTTGTCACACACTTCCGTAGCGAGCGGATCTGGGATCTGAGCGAAAGTTCGAGTACCCGCTTCCAAGGTTGTTTCAAAAGAGTTTCTTCCTGGTGGATGGTTGCACTCAGGACTGAGCCACATGAAGTTGACGAACATCTTTTGTATAGTGCCTTCTCATGTTAAACTGGGTCGGAACGACTCAAGTCACCACTGGAGAACTGTGAATCGTTACAGATTCCTTTCAAAGATGCCCTGGAAGCACACTTCTACCTATATATATATAGAGAGAGTCTATACAAGTATTCGGAACCTTTGGATTGCAACTATACACTCATATAATAGTTGATTGATATGTTGCATGACTGCATGTGTGTTTCAATCCATTGTCTTCTTACATACCTGGAGTTTGTTCTAAAACACCTTTGTTCTGCACCCTTCCGTCGAAAGAGGGCTGGCTTTTCGCATGCTGAGCTTCTTACGGGGCAGGGCTCCGGTACACAGTTGTGACTGTTCACCGTCAAAGTGCCATCGTCACCTGAGACGGTGTCGACGCAAACGTCTCTCCGCGTAGCTGAACGTTCTTGTTACTAGTAGCCATGGCCTCCAACCTAATAGCTTATAGCTACTCGTAACTTCTTGTTTTAGGAAGAATGCTACTAAGTAGTAATGCCCTTTAAACTAGTAGCGATGCCCTTGAAGCCAGCAGCTATTTGCTCCTAGTAGTATGGCCAGGAGCTACTAGTAGCGTCCTTGCTACTAGTGGCGATGCCATTTGTTACTAGTAGCAACCCAGAAAAAGAACTGGAGGTTCTCTAGGTGAGAAAGGTACGTCTTAATCATGAGATTTGGATAGATATGTCGCTACGTTTCATTCTTATTAGCAAGTGTCATATCCGATTTGAACTAAGTACGATTTGCAAATATTTGCACATGACACGCAGGGAAGTCCTGCCCGGTTTCAAAGGACAAGCTCCTTGTCACTGCCAAGGAAGGGTTTGCTACCATCACGACTTCTGGACGTAGGATTTTGCTCCTATATAGTAGCTTCTTGTTGCTGGTAGTAATGCCCTTGTTACGTTCGTAGCGCTGGTTACGTTCGTAGCGCTGGTCCATCGCCTGGTCTGGTACTAGTAAGGCCCTGGTCGCGCCCCAGGCCGCGAATCGGACTCGTCTAGTGAACCCGTTCCGGATCCGAACAAGGTGAGTCGCCTCGCTAGGACTCTCTGAAGCGGGTCACGGGAAGGAGAAGGGCGTGATGCCAGAGATCACGGGAAGCCCATCGTTGGTGTGTCCGTTCACTTCCAACCACCGGAAAGAACGGACCTGACATCAAAGAAGTTCCCGCTACATTTTTGACGAACATTCCTTGCCAGGTGGAGCAAGCAATCAATCTTTTGAGAACCAGAAACGGACCAGCACAAGTACTCTGATCGTCCCCTTAATACTATAAATACTGCTACCCTCCCAGCAAATCAAATGGCCATGGCTTGCTCTCACACAGCTTGCTCTGCAAATACCGTCCAACACCGGTTGTGACGAAGTTTGACCACCAGCCAACCCTCTTAGGTTGGATTGGAGGCCATTGCTCCATATTGCTCCTAGGTTGGAGGTCATCGCTCTTAGGTTAGGCTTTGCGAGGCAGTTAAGGCCGGATGCATTCCCTCATTTGCTTGGACTTCATGTTTTGTCTTCGGGGAAGCCTTTCCTCGAACTTCTTCGCTGGAGCCCCGACAATGCAATGAGACTTCGCCGCCATAGCCATAAAGCACGTTGCCACAGGCCTGAAGGGCAGTGTTGACCACCATCTACCATGGGGGCACTCCAAATCACATGCCCTGCACGTTCCGGGATCCTTCGGGCTTCGGGGCCAATGGTATGCAGGCCGCACTACAAGCCAAGACCTACAGAATCGACCTGCGCGAGAAGGGATTTGCAAGGAGCCCTTTGGGACGTTTGGGTCCTCTTTGGGTGAATTCCTTGACCTGTCGCCACAAACAGTTTGCACAGAAAGAATGATAGAGTATGATGGAGTACTTAATTACGGTATTTACATGTATTTACGGTCCTCAAGCAGTTCGGTGAGAGAAAAACTTGATGTCAATTGCAAAAAGCTAGGCACATCGGCTGCGACCATGTCTCCAACACGATCTCCAGCCTGCGTCCCGTCGGCGTTGTGGTCGATGCGTGCCGCTGGCCTAAGTAGGCGATGACGCGGAAGAGAAGTGACCTGAGGGAAATTCCGGTCGTCCAATGGTTGGAATCCCGAGTTTCAACCATTCTTCCGAAGCAACCATTCTTAACGTCTATGAGTTTCAGAGTTTCAGACCAAAAACATCAGATCAACCATTTGTAATGTTATCAATTGCTTTTGGAAGGCTGGGGTTGATGTTCCCACCAAGCTGTATATCCCCCAAACTGCATGTCCCAAGTTAACATGCTTCAAGTTCACCTTCCTCGCCGCTGGACTCTGTTTCATGGAACACATCTGCTTGTTCATGGATTGATCTTCATAGGGTCCTTTAAGGCGTGAGCTGGAAAGTCTTGCAGTTGTAGTGAGGGTCAGTTCGTTCTTGGAGCTCACCAAGACTGATGTTCGAGAAGGTCAAAGCTCAGGCGTTCTCTCCGTTCTTCACCTTTGTCCCGAGTTGGCGATGCCTTTGTCCTATGGCAACTGCTTCAGATCCCCTACAACGGTCGATTCGGTCCACTCTCGGCTCCACACACCACGCTATAGCTTTGCCCATCCACAGTGACCTGAGCGAAATGGAGATGGGACGTTGCAAGGAGCCACAGCAGCGGGATTGCCTTCGCTGCTACCCCTTTCCAATCGAGGCGGAGGGTGCTCGAGTTGCTCCTGCATTCTTGCTGTTCACGGTTTCTATGTGTGCGTGTGAATTACGGCTTTCTGTGAGTCTATGTTACAAGGCACGATTGAGTTCCAAAAGAAAGCCACTATTCAGTATTCAACCAATTTCCAGGGCGTTTTGAAAGCCCTTTTGGATGTGGAAGTGTGCGAGAAAAGGAATTGTCAGGTCCTCTGCAAGACTTGCCGTCTTGATCCCCACTGCCTTGAGTAAACCAAGGCACAGTGGTGCTGGAGCCGTAGGTAGAGCAGGTTTGCCGACACGCCGCAGAAGAGCCCGCCTGGCGACACGTCGCTCACACGGAGGGTCATGTTCGGGTCACGTGGAGGGCGACGGGGACGTCTTATTCAGATGCCCTTTGCTCCGTTCGTAGCGTGATAGCGTCGTCGTGCGCGCGCGACGGGACGAAAGATCGGCCCAAAAGCCCTCAACAACCTGCCAAAAGCACCTTGATTGCTTCCGCCTAAGGGCCGATCAGAAGTGAGACAATGACATTTCATGGTGAAATCAGGAATTCAATGTGAATCCGTGCAATAACCATGAAAGAGATGGGAGACAATGGGTTTGCCTCGTCGTTTTCGCGCCTCCAGCATGCCATTGTTGCAGGTCAGCCTAAATACGACCCCCATCGAAGCGAACAACTCAGCCAGGCGCGCTCAGCCAGCGCTGGACGCGAAACTCCGAACGGATTTCATGTTGTTGAACATGCAGAACAATAGCATGATATGTGGGCAACTGGATTCCTGTGGTATCTATCCCCTGTCCTCTGAAAGAACCCATCAAGGCTATGGCTTGGGGACCTGTTCTTCACCGAAGAGCAAAAAAAGAACAGCTTTGTTGGCTCTCTAGCTTCGAGCCGTAGATGCCTTGTTGGTTGCTTCCGAAAATCGGCGTCGAGTCTTGCCCTCAATTGCTCCACCACCTCAATCATATCGTTTAATCAACTGGGGAAACCTCCAGTTCGACCCTCAAGTAGCTTTTTGTTACTAGTAACGTCCTTGTTACTACTAGTAAGGCACTTGTTACTAGAAGCGATGCAC